GGCTGTGGCCTATTATGCTAAGAAGTTCCTGCTGGGCTTTTTCTACAAAAAAATCCCTGATCCCCGCCATCCCCAGTTGCAAGGGTTTCTGCTAGTCATACCGGGGAGGGGCTTTGCCAGTGGACAATTCTAAGCTATATGGATTAATGTAAAGATCTGTGGCAGCATACAGCAGCTTTGGACTTTTTTTCTTTTGAGGTTAGGCACATCTTTTCTCCTTCTACCTTGTGTACAGTATGCACTGCCCTACTTACGGCAAACGAAAGGAAACATCGTCAACATTGGCGGCATTGCCGGTATTATTGGGATGAAAAATGCTCTGCCAACTACCACAAGCAAGGTAATCCTGACCAAGGACAGAATTGTTTGCCAATTTTTTTTAATGCTTCTGCTCTTGAGCTTCTTAGAGCAGCTTGGCTGGCAGATGAAGGTTTGCACAGCATGGGGATGACCAGTGATAGTGTCTCCATTCTCTGTGCTTTGAAAAACTCAACTCTACCTGCGGGTTCTTGTAAATCAAGGTGCTCCCAAAGGCACAGGAGGAGGCTGGCTTGATATTTTTCGGTTCAGATATCAATCCTCATACATGATCCTTACGCCAGTTCAAAACCAGTAAAGGTTTCATGGGACGTTGATTTGCTTTCTTTTCATTATCAGACTGGGAAAAGTTCACTTAGGCCTCAGCGCTGAAAACATCCTACATCTTTGACCCTTCCCTTAGAACCCCAAGTACGGTTCCCGACTACCTAGAGTAAATGGGATGCCCTCCCCCTTGACTCGAGGCTTCATGGGAAGGTTATTTACATGGTGATGTCATTTCCCCCATGCTATGAAAAGCTTGATGGCAACCGTAACTCCAAGGGACGAGATTTCTACCTCTCTGCTCTAATTTATCAATCTGCCAAAGAAATCTGTCCTTCAGGTCCCCAGTATTCAGGCTTCAGTTTCCTGGTCTAGGGATCAGACTTGGATATCTAGGGACAAATCGCCCCATGATGGAAGTCAGGGGGTCGTGGCAGTAATTTGGGGGGCCAGGGCCCAAGATGCCCCACTGTAGCTACAGGCCTGGATAAGGTCCAGCCCCCCCCTCCACCCCGTCCTCACCAGGGTTGCCAACAGGACTTAAGAAAAATACCCTCTCCCTTTAAGAGAAGCTTAGTAGCCACTTGGACTGTAGGCATTATTGAAGCCCATACCGTAAAAAATCATTCTCTTTATTCACATCAGAGTTTAGTCAGAGGCATAAGAGGAGGCGAGGATATTTCTGGACAGTTTGCAACCCTGCTTGTTGGGTATTCTCTTGCAGGGCGCTGTGATTGCAATGACCAAGGCCCTGGCCATCGACGAGAGCAAATACGGAGTACGGGTCAACAGGTAAAAACGATTATCATCATTACAGAGCCCTCGATGCACAGTGTCCCTTGCAGAACACTCTCAGGAAAGAAAGATAGGACCTCCGTAGCCTAACACCAGGAGTTAACAGGCCAAGTTTTTTGCTAAAGCAAATAAAGAGATAATACAGGGGGAAAGATAAGGAATGATAACAGGTAATTGGAACTAAAAGAGTGTAACACTCAGACAAATGGGCTGGGGTAACTTTCCTGGAGAAGGTATAAGTGATTCAAAGTCCACAAATTTCTTTTCCCTTTCAAATATCATTGCTTATGAGAAGAGAACAACAATAAATAGATTAGGTACAAAGCATGGTATCTTCTAAAATTAGAGGTTAGGAAATTAATCCCATTATTTTCAATTCCACTTGAATAATCTGCTTTGCTATAAGGACGTACATCCTCAGTATATCTGAAACGACCAAAGTACCCAAATCACTGCACTTACAGATAGAGGAGAGGAGGGGGACGTCTACATACTAGCGGGTCTCCCCCAGGTATGCAGGAAAGTACAACATTGACAATTAACTAAAAAAAGCACAAGATACTGAGGAAAAAACCCAGCTTAAAAGAGAACCGAATCTTCTCCAGGGAGCTCGAAATGTGGAGAGCAGGTGAGAATCCGTTAAAGGAGGGGAAAAAAGGTGGGGTGGGGGAGAAATCGGCCTCCTTAAGTCCACCCCAAAGAGTTTACAGAATCCTGGAGGTTTAGCTATTACTTTTTTCCTGTGTCTTAAACAAATGATCTGTTTATTCCCTGTGGACTGAGATTGCAGAGGCTGCATTCCACGCCATGTTTTTTCTGGGGCGTAGAAATGAATAACGAGGAGTCTGGGGTGAAAGACTGTAAGGTCATCATGGAAGTTGCTGTCTTTCTAGGAATAATTAGAAAGGCATGTCTTCAACACTCATTTGGGGACATATTCCTTGATGTTTCATGATGCCCCATATCTTTTTCTTAATTCTCAATCATTTCGAATTTTAGCATCTCGCCAAGTCATATCTGGACTCCTTTGTGGGAAAGGGAAGCAAATCGTTTTAAGAATCCAGAGGCCATAGTCCAGGAAGGCGAAAGTTATCAGGCAAGTGTGTTGTGGGGAAACAGGAATGGAGCTGGTGCAGATGAATGGTTTCTTCCAGGGGTTGCCATCCTCAAGGTGGGGCCTGAAGTTCTCCTAGAATGACCGCTGTTCTCCAGGCGACAGAGATCAGTGCTCAGGAGGAAATGGCAGCTCTGCAGGGAAGGGGAACAGAAGTCCTAGAGTGTCCCCAGATGGAGGGTGCTGTTGGTCTTCACTATCTCCTTTGGAAGAAGCATCCCCCCTCCCCAGATTCTGCCCTCCGCAGGCACGGTTTCCCAAGCCAGGATTGGCAGTCTTAGTTCTACCACATGTAAAGTGGTAATAATAAGTACGGGAGTGTATGCAATGGCAGAAATTCGAATTTTGCACCCAGGAAACCTGAATTCTACTGCTTATAAATCCTGCCCCACCCAGATTCAGCTTCTGAGACCTCATGATCTTATCTTATGTGAGCTGAGTTCAGAATTCTACATTTATCTCTCTTCTCTTGCACATGTATAGCTTATGGGACGGTTTGGGACCCCAGAAGAGGTGGCCTTGGGCGTTCTGTTCCTTGCTGCTGATGGAACTTTCTGCACTGGTCTGAACCTTCTACTCACTGGTGGAGCTGAAGTTGGCTTCGGAAGAAAGAGCCAGATGGGTCCTGACCAATGTTCCCTCTAAGCTGTGGAGTCTTGTGAGCAAAAATTCTATTGTGTGAGCTACTGGCATTAAAGTTGTGAGCGAGCAATTTGGTTACTGCATAGATTAGTCTGCTCTGGAGCCATCCTTCCTGAGCTAAAACAAAAATGTGTGAGCAGGAGGCTAAAGAACTGTGAGCTAGCTCACACTAACTCAGCTTAGAGGGAACACTGGTCCTGACTCTTCTGCAATTGATAGTGGGAATCTGAAGGACTCCTCCAGCAACTAATAGAACCACAAAGAGGGGTGGGGATAAGAGCAAAGAGTACAACTGTCATTGATTCAAAGTCATTATTCAGTCTTCATTAAATGCTTCTTTTTTATGTTTTCTGGTTGTTTCCCCTTGACCAGCAACTGTGCCTATTCTTGTTCCAAATCCCACCATCCAATAAAGAAATGGCTCAAAGGAAAGAGAGGTCATAAAGGTGTCGTTGCTGTCCGGCTTTAATTCATGAAAATGAGTTTGCATCAGGACCTACCCTTCCTTGTTGAGCTGGGTTTGGTGCTCTCTGCCCGGCCTTACAACCTCCTTTTCCTGCACCTCCTCTGCCTGGATTCATTTGCAAGTTTGTACATTATCCAAAAGTTGGGCTTCTAACCAGGGTGGTGGCAGCAGCTGTGGTGTATATCTTCTTACCCTGAGATACCACCAAGCCATTCAAACTGTTGAACCAAGGCTGAATAAATTTACCCAGCTTTTTCAGAAGCCTCCATCAAAATAGGTACCTTCTGAACTTCCAGGTAAGAACTCAGGTACTCTGAATGAGTTCCTTAGAAACACTTCAGGAAGTCTGAGGTTGCCAAAAATGGCATCTGCCTATCAAAACTGCACTCATTTATTTATATTTATATTTATTTATACCTTCGGCTTATGTACCGCCCTGACCCCGAAGGGTCTCTGGGCGGTTTTACATAGTGGTTCTAACCAACCAATTAATCTAACTGGGGCCACATTGTCTACAGTGTGGTGACTGCCTACCAGCAGCCCGGGCTAGTTGTCATCCGGCTTCATTTCGCGGCTTCAGATATTGGCGTCCTGGTGCCCTTTCTGGAGCCGATCTTTCTGGAGCAGCTTCCTCCGGCAGGTCTCGTCTTGGCGCATGGCTCTGTGTTGGCTGCAGTTCTGGCTACTGTCCACAGGTGGCTCCGCCACGCTGCACCACACGTCACCACGCTCTCCAAGGCCTCCGACATTGCTCCACTGGGTCGCCAGGAACTGCTCCGCCGCCATTGTTGCCGCTGCCGCCGCTAAACTCTCTACCTCACAAGGATTAGGGGTGGCCCCTGCCACCTAGGGCAGGTACCCACTTTATCTACTTGCATTTATGATGCTTTCAAACCGCTGGGTGGACGGGAGCTGGGACGTGGGCCGGGAGCTCACCCCGACTGCGGTGGGTTTCGAACAGCCATAATGGCTGTTCATTGATGTTACTTTGTAGGCGTTCTTACTGCCTGTGCCACCGCTCCTTCCTGCCTGTCCCCAGCTTGGCAGACTTAGCAAGCTGAAGTCCCCAATCAGCTGAAAGCCTTCCAAGAGAACAAGAAAACTGAATTTAAAAACCCGTTCACAACAATTAGATCTTCCTTTAGTGGTTTAGCAGAGGGATGGAGAAGGCACCAAAGCAGCGAAGGTGCGGGAACAGCAGTCCAGAATGTTTGGAAAATGAAAAGTGTTTTCCAGAAAAAGAGAGGGAATGCTGGGGGGAGGGGAGCAGAAGCAGTTGCCAAGCAGAGAAGGGAGGCTGAACACCTGTTTTGAAGTTATCCCTCAATTTTGGGGAGGGGATAACATGGAAAGAATCATGTCAGAATGGGTTACTCATATAAAGTAAGAGATGGCAAGAGAAGCCCGTGTCTTTATCGCATGATTCATTTAAATTCCCTCAATAGCTGTTCTGTTGGTATCGATTGACTGAGAAAATACATACTAACAAAAAACAATATAATGTCAATGCTTATGGATTTGCAGAACCATTGAATCACTCCAGGGCTTCCAGGTTGATAACCACTGCTTTAGAGAAAAAATACACCTTGGAAAGTATTCCATAACTGTGTGGTTCTCTCTCTCTCTCTCTAAAAAAAAGACTGCTGATGTGATTACACACCTTGAAGAAGGCTTAGAACAGTCATCCTCAACCTTCAATGGTGTTTCCTGGAGCCTCCCCCTCCCCCTCCCAAAAAGGAGTCAGGTTCTGGGTTTTCTCCACCTCGTTACAGCAGGAGAGGCTTCACAAGGCAGAGAGAACACTCAAGACTTCGCTTGCACAAGGGGGTTCATGTTTTGGGCAGGGTATTAACTTGATCCCTGTTTTCTGAACAATGTTGACAGGTTGTTCAGATCTTTCAACCCTTCCAGCCTGAGCTGGTGGGACGTTCCTTACTCAATCCAAAGGTAGGGAGTCTGCTCCCTCCTGAGATAAGTGAACCCTCTTCTCTCTATCATTTAAGAGGGCATGTCTCCCATGCCTCAATACCCAACTCATGTTTTAATGACAGCTATCCATCCTGTCCTTCCTGGCAGGTACAGTCTCTTTACAGAAACACATCTCCACTCTTGCTGACACTTTGTGCATTGTATGGCTCTCTTCCCTGGGAAAGCAAAAAGCTCCCAGATCCCTTGCGTAGTGGTGGCTATGATATCACTAAGCTTTGTTTTGCTGAATTTGCCGATGAGTCAAGCTCAAGCTCTTTTTAACTGTCCATGAATTCTGTTTCAATTGACTTCCATCTTTGGCAGTTAGCTGAACCAGTGACAGGAAAAAGTAGATCAATTACTTTTTAATAGACTCTAAAAGTTGAGATTGGCCTTCTTATTTTGTTTACCAGATGTATCTCATATGTACCTGCAGATTAGCTCATATGTTGCTTATGTTTTATTTAGTTAAGAATCGGTTATCAAAAATTATTACATGATCATGTTTATAAGATTCTCAAACTATCTTAGCTTATTATAATAGATTTACAATATATTATCAAATTAATCTTTGAACTAAATTATTCTGCCAATAATTCAGCTCAGTCCTAGGAGGTCTTGGGTCAGGAGGGGGAAAGAAGATGAGGAAGATATGACGATAAAGTCTGCAAAAGAAGTTTTGTCTTTCATAATATTCATGATTTTGGTTGTGGTGTTAAATTATAAAATTCTTTCTTCAATAAAACAAAATACAATAAAAAAGAATCAGTTATCTAGATAATATCACAGGATTATGCTAGGTAATTGTGGTAAGAAAATTTAGAAATATGGAAGGTTTGGGTTTAAAATGAACCAAATAGTTCATAAAATCTATGTACCTGTTCCTGTCATTGCTAGCAACACAGCAGACAGCCTTGGCCTGTTTGAATCAAACCCCATGATTCTTTGCAAGCCCTTTTGTCCCAGGAGGATCTCTTTCTTGGTCACACACGCAAAGATGTAACACATTCCATTCCCAGCCACAGGTGTGAGACCACCAATTTCCTAGGCAATAAAATGTGTGGCCATTTGGGAAGTTGGCAGACTTCAATCCATAAGACTAACTTCCTGAGATACAGAGGGTTCACACACACCCCGCTTTCATCTCTCTGATAACTTCAAAGGATAGTTTATTTCCCATGATTGGGAAACACCAGGAGTAAACAATGACACTGTATTGATCCTGTGGAATGTGAACTTTTGTTGTGTGAGACCAAGGAAACAAATTTCCTGTAAAACAATTTCAACTTCTAAATGTTAATTTACAATTGTAATCTGATTATTTGTTCTTTGGTATAAATACTGGTCAGATCCAACAGACTTTCGTTGACTCTTGAAGGATCAGGAGAGAGGCTCATTTCTCCTGAGAATTCGGAGTCAACCCGAGAGGCCTCTCGTTCGCTGCATGCCATGGGGTGGGGGAAACTTTGCTTGCATGTTTATTTTTCTGTGTATTCTATCAATGTTTAGGAAATAGGATTCTACTGTGTTGGCAGGCTGGCATAACGTCTTGCTGGTCATCTTGCCAGGCAAATCTCTGAATGTTTTTCTATAATAAAGATAAGTTTTATTTTAAGAAGAGACCTTTGAATGTCTCTGCCAGCGCCTTAGCGATTTCCAAGCTTACACCTCTGCCTTTGGTAAGGAGGTGACACTCAGTAGACATGAACTGAGGGGAGAGTATGGGTGACACGGGTAAACACGCTTTCACAGACACGGCAAGCCAAACACATTTTTCTTACAACAGTAATCAGGTTTTATGTTGTTTATCTAATTTAGTTATGTAGTTAACTAATATTAATTTTGTTTTAATTATGTATGTTTTATTCTGTATTTATGTTACCTGGAAGCCGACCTGAGCCTGCTTTGCGGGGAGGGCAGGGTACAAATTTGATGATGATGATGATGATAATAATAATAATAATAACAATATCACAATTATGATAGACAAGATTTAGAGATAAGAACTGGTATTTCTCTACAAATATGCACTCCTCTGACAAGCAAATTAGATTTCTCTGGATGGAGATCTCAGAAGAAGAATAGGCGAGATTTCTTGGTGGGTAACTTGGCTTTTTGATTATCCCTAAAAGTAGTGAGACAACCAGTCGAAACCTGATTTGCTTTTAAAGCTATTACTTGCTAAAAAGCAATGTTAGATATTTTGATACCTTTAGCATTTATTTTCAGGGTATTTGTAGGATTAGCTTTTTCATACTTTTATTTACTTCTGTCTAGCTCATTAAAGAAAATAACTTCTTATTTCAATAAAAGATAAACATTTCTGGTGATGTTCTGTCTGGTTTGCTGGTTACACTCAAATAACTATACTCACCCCCTTATTCTTTTGTATTATCAGAACTAAGGGTTGTAAATCACCCTTCAATTAAATAAATCCAGAGAACTTTGTTACTAAACACGTTTTATAAAGGCAAAGCTATTAGACGTGTTACGTTCAGGCTCTCTGATTGGATATGGGATGCAAGTATAAGACAAATGAAATTTCCTAGAGAATATTTGCCAAATAAAAAAGCACTCCTTTATTTTACATGGGGGGGGAATGTAAAAATTCCACCACACCATGGAGGGCACTGTTTTTAAACACAGAGAAAAGTTATTTTAGTAAACTCTCCTGAGGAACTGTGATTGCCTTACAAATCAATGTTTACATTTTAATAAATTTCATTTAAGATCTATGACCTAGAAAGGAGATGATGTAACGATAAAAAGGAATATGTGAGCTAAACTATCTGGAAAGCTTTTCAGAGGTATTCCCTTGCGCATTTTCTAATTTCTAAGGACAGATGGAGAGGGCAATCTTTATTCCAACAGATCTCTGGAGACATGAAGGACTACCTCTCCCAGCATGCTGTAAGATCCGTGGGTATGCTCACTGGTAGAAATGACATGCTTTGCTGTTGCCATTATTTAATCAAAAGATGAGATAGATGTTCGAACCTGGATCTTTTTTTTTAGAAGTCCCCTCCCCCCTTTCAGCTAACACACCTTGGTGAACTCTAGATAATCCTCACTTCATTATTGGAATAAAATAGGACCCTTATTTAATCCTGTAAGTGAGGTCAGAAGGAATCATAGCTCTGTGGCAAGTTACACCAATGAATCCCCATTATTATCACACATTATCACACAGGCAGCGAGAGGGTGGAACATGATGCAGTACAGGGGAAATGACTGTCACGCTTCTAGAGAAGTTGCATTATCCCTCATACTGGCAAGTCACTGGACAGAGCCTCTTGAATGACTCAGCTGTTTTTTCAAGAAACACACATCCAGTCTGTCTCTTTGTAAGGGATCAAAGCAGGGGTTGTTTCATAGAAAAAGAGCTAGGGGAACTCATTAGCATAACACATTAGCATATGCCACACCCCCTGACATCAGGGGCCCGGCGGTGGACCTGCAAGGCCGGCGGGAGTGCGAGGAAGCCCCGCCAAGGCCCTCCTTGGCCCCAGGCAGGCAGGGGTGGGGAGAGGCGGGGAAGAAGCAACTTACCCTCCCTCTTCTCCTGCCTCCTCCTGGCTGAATGAGGGCCGGAAGCGGGGCGGCCAGAAGCAGGGGGCAGGGCTTCATTGTGTGCCCTGCCCCCCCGCACCTCACCCGGGGGAACTGCGATCCCCCGCGTTCCCCCCCGAAATGACCTCTGGATCAAAGTATTCAATGTATATTATGTTTTTATTATGGAAAGGTTTTGCCTTGCCTCTGTAAGCCGCCCTGAGCCTATTGGGGAGGGCGGGGTATAAATGCGAAAAATAAATAAAATAAATAAATAAAATAAAATCCAGAAACTCTCTCATGTGCTCCTGGACTTGAATCCAGCTGCTTTCTTGCAGAATCTCTCTTGTAGCCACACTCCCTCCAGTCCAAGGTGAAGCAACGTTCTGAAGACCACACTCCTACTCCAAATAGGGTTGCCAACCTCTTGCTGGAGGTGGGAGCTCCTCTGCCACAGGCCACACCCCCTGCCTCTAATCAACTGTCTGGCAGGGGGACTTACCAGGAGCAGGAAGAAGGACTAGGCTACGATTCCAGCAATGTGGCAATATTACTTCTGGCATTTGCTGGAAGTGATGTCATCAGGCTGGCAAGATCTGGGCAATGCTCTGGTATTGTAGCAAAAACTCTGTGGTAGAAGCCATTTTTCCATAGAGTTTTTACCCAAATACCAGAATGTCACTGGGATGGCCAAATGTGATGATGTCACTTCCGGGACGTGCTGGAAGTGATGTCACCAAATAACTGATGACGTAGCCTGGCCCTCCTCCCCACTCCTGGTAACCTCCCCACATTCTCCACTGGTTGCCAGCAGGGACCTGGCAACTCTAACCCGAAGGCTAGGACAAAGGGCCCAGCTGAGAAGAAATTAGGTTGAATTTAAAGAGATGGGGAATGGGGGTGCACATTTTCTTGAAGAAGTGGTTTTAGTGAAGAGGGAATGGGTGGGAGGGGGGCCCATTCCTCCCATATTAAAAGACATATCCTCAGCAGCACAGTCGTGACTTGGAATCTAATGACACTTGCTTCTTTCATATCTCCTGTCTACTGCTTCTTCAGTTTAGACCCTTCTGCAATGAAGCCATCCCTTGGAGCAAACACAGGAGCTTCTGAAAAGCTCCCCCCATCCATTATTCTTCTCCCAGTTCAGAAAGGACCAGCCCTCATGCTCCACAGCCCACAATGAGCAAATTAGCCATGGGCACTCCTTCCAACCAATTAAGTAGTGGCACTGCTCCACCCAAGAGCCTGTATAGCCAAAGCTCCATGTGGATTTTAGTCATTAAGAGAAGCAGAGGCAAACAGCTGACATGGCAACTTGTCTGCGTTATCCGGGCAAGGTGGTGATTGTGACTGGTGGTACCCGAGGGATTGGTCTGGCCATCGTGAGAGAATTTGGTGAGAATGGAGAGAAGTGGGTATGGAGGAGGGGGCATTTCCTGTCAACAGGGGCTGGGGTTGATCCTTTCAGGAAGACTCAGGACGTCTTGCTTCCTACATCTCTTATCTGGGGCGGAGAGAAATTGGGAATGAGGAAAATGTCTTCTTTATATCTGCAGAGGCATTTTTGTCTGTCCTGCCAACATATAAAAGACTCATGGAGTAGTACCTTCTGGCATAAGGTCTTGTGGACTAGAGACTTTTCATTTGCCTTTGACATCCCATGACTCTTTCTTATGTTATCGTAAATAATAGGTTTGTGTGCTCCAGAACAGATTCCTTCTGTGGAAAACAGGTTACATGAACTATCCCTATTAGCTCTGGGGTGGGGTGAGCAATTCCTATTTTCATAGCAGGTAATGCTACACCTGCTGAATTTCCAAACTCTTGAAGCAGGACACCAGAATACAAGGTAGCAAATCTGACTGATACTAGGACTGTGAAGCTGGGTTGGGAAGTATTGGCTGTCCCTTATTTCCAGAGTAAGACTGGATCTTAGGGCTCCAGTACAGCAAGATTTGAGCACAAAAGTACCTAAAAGAGAAGCAAGATTTTCGGGGTATATCTGACTTTACAGACTCAGATATCTGATGATTCAAGGAGTTTTGACTCTCAAAAGCTTCTCCCCTGGAGACCTTGTTGGCCTTTCAGGTGCTCCTGGATTCTAATCTGGCTCTTCTCCTTCAGACCACAATGGCTGCCCACCTGAAAGGGTCTTCATGGAGGGTTTGGGGGGAGGGGGCTTCTGCTCCCCTTATCAGAGAGAGTTTGCTCTGGACAAGGAGATCTGCCTGCAGAAGGCTGCCCGTCCTGAAACATAAAACAACTCTTATCCCCTCTGAAGTTTTCTGAGGTTGTTTGAGGATGTAAATGGGGGGATGGGGGAAGCAGGGATTGAATCTGTTAAACAAATAAATTAATCCAGTGCTGTGCATCTGTGAGTGAGCCAAGCCCCTCTGAGTTTTGTCTTGCGTTCCTTTCTCTCTTCGCCCTCCAGTTCGCCAAGGAGCCAAAGTGGTCTTCTGTTCACGAGCCTCTGAAGGTGAGACTAAAGCACTTTTTCTACTCCCCCCCATGACAAGCTCCCCTTGTTTGTTTAAATATGGCTGCGGTCACACAGGCAGGAAAATGCAGGGGGGAAGCGTGGCTGTTTGCCCCGGGGCAAAATAACGCACGGTTGCGCGAGCAGACATCCCATGGAGGTTCTGTGGAGGTCCCGTGGTAGGGGGGAGGTGCCGATCACACCACAATCCTGCGACACGGCAAAGAAGCGGCGTGCTGTGGCAAACGGGTGGGGGTTTTTTTTGTACACAGACGTGTGCGCATGCCCCGTTGGGTGCTTGTGTGCATCCCGAGGACACTTGGGAAAAAAAACCTTTTTGCGAGGGGACATGGGCGGGTGCCGGATGCCATGGGATTCCACCGGAAATGCGATCACATGCCCGCCCTTGCCTCACGGTTTCCAGAAACTAGTACCTCCAAGGTACTAGTTTTTTACCGCGCATCTTCGGAGTGAAGCCTTGGGTTCGCCACGGGAGCTCTATGCTTCCCAGATGTGGCGGTGAGATCGTGCCCAGAAAATCCGCCTATCTTCCATCTCTCTAGCGTGCCTAATGCTCCGTGTGACTGCAGCCTATGTATTTCCCACCTCAACAGAGATCCTTCTTGAAGCAGTGTACAAAGTAAAACTTAATGAAATCATAAAGCAGAATAAATTGTCAATGAAATATTTATTTACTAATGATCAAACACATGAGTAGGAGCAAACCAGAACAACAAGCCATTTAAAGCATGAGTAAGCCACCACTAATACTTGCCTACTCTGAGGCAGATTTCCCCCCCAAAATTATTAGTTCCCTTCTGTGACTAAGCAGCTCCAAGTAGTGTGTAAATAATTGTGGTTTTGAAAGACTGTCTGTCCCACCCTGTCACACTGATTTCATTTTGACTTTTAATCCAGCCCAGGAATTTGATGCAGAAAAGCAGGAACACTCTTGCTTTATCCTTTGAGACGGTATAACATTCAAACAGAAAGAACAATTTTATTTAACAGACAGGGATGGAATAAGTGTAGTCATGGATTGGAAATGCTGAGGTAAAAGTTGTTGATAGTACAGAATCCACTTCTTTAAAATAGCAAAATAGTGTTGTTCAGTGTTCCCTCTAAGCCGTGGAGTCTTGTGAGCAAAAATTCTCTTTTGTGAGCGACTGGTATTAAAGTTGTGAGCGAGCGATTTGGCTGTTGCATAGATTAGTTTGCTCTGGAGCTATCCTTCCTGAGTTAGGACAAAAATATGTGAGCTGGAGGCTTAAAAACTGTGAGCTGGCTCACACTAACTCAGCTTGGAGGGAACACTGGTGTTGTTGAAGCTTATTTTCATTTATTCTTGGATCTTAACTATGAGAGGCATTTTACTTAGTATTTTAGTTACGGCAACAATGTTTCTCAGACAGATGGTTTTTAGTGTATTGATAAAGGACCAAGTGTGAATGATGGGTTGAAAGGCCCTCTTGGTGGCTTATCCTGGGTGGATTGGAGGTTAAGCTGTCTTTAACAATGGCTGGGTTCAATTAGAGATACTTAAGAGTTGCCCAGTGATCTATATCGGGAAATGGCTCATATTGACTTGATGAATTATCCCTTGGGGCTCGGGGAATATAAATGCTTTGTACATTTCAGTGACACCCTTCCTATGTGATAGAATTTACCTTGGTCACGACAGGACCAGGAGTGTTTTTGAGATTTGTTTTCAGGCACCCCACTGCGCTAAGGCTTACAAGGAGGTGCCCTTCAAAACAGGCAAGCACAGATGAGGAATGAGATTGAGGGGTCTCCATGGGAGGTAATAAAACATGTAAGATCTGCTATGTGCCTGAAGCAAGAAGGAGAATATCCTACCGGGGGCATTAAAGGGCTTAGCAGCTAGCATGGTCAAATTAAGAACTTTCTAGTATTTTCAAATGATCCCCTCCTATCTCCTGATAGGCTCACTGGAGACTTCCTCTTCTTTTAAACCCATTTCCTCCTTAGTTGCTTATTATACAGTTAATTGATTAGATAGTTAGAACCAGGGCTTTTTTTGTAGAAAAAGCCCAGCAGGAACTCATTAGCATACTAGGCCACACCCAACAGCAGAAACTCATTAGCATATTAAGCCACACCCCTGACACCACAGCTCATTAGCATATTAGGCCACACCCCATGTTACCACACTCACCTTTTGCTTGTTATTCTGTTTACTTTGTTTGTTGTCAAAACCCTGGGCTTCTTTTTGTAGCAGGAACGTCTTTGCATGTTAGGCCACACCCCCCTAATGTAGCCAATCCTAATGAGTTTCTGCTGTTAGGTGTGGCCTATTATGCTAATGAATTCCTGCTGGGCGTGGCCAACTCAGGAGCCAGCCGGAACTCCGTTCCTGTGCGTTCCTGCCCCAAAATAGCCCTGGAGAACCTTCTCTCTTCTCTCTGCACAGTTGTTTCTCTTCTAAATTAAACTGTTTATTCTTTCAGCAGCTTGAGCTCCGCTCCTTTTTGCATATTTTAAATTCTGCCAACAGGAGGAGGGGTCAGGGGCCTCACAGTCACCCACATCACTTCTGTAGGCACACAGAGCAGGGCTTCAGAAGCAGATCTTAACTGAGGGAATGGATGGCTCCAAGCCACTGACATCCTTGAAGCTAAGAAACAGCACTGTGGATGGATTGTCAGCAACAGATGGGTAGCCAGTGCAGATCTTTCAGCACAGGGAAGGTATGATCCCTGTATCCAGCCCCTGACTCACTTCCAGTATCTCAGGTTAGCTAATATAAAGAAAATATGAGGTTTAGGATAGTGGTGTAAAAGTAAGTTAGAAGAATAAGAGCTGCTTCAGGCCCTGCAAGAGAGAGCACAGGTAAGAAATTCAGGTTATATTCACCCTTGAATAGAATGTTGCAAATGGAGAGAGAGAAATATGCACATGACAGAGGTGATTTCCCACAAGCACTGCTCCGCACTCACTCCTCCCTTTTGCCCCGATGGTACGTGTCAATTTCACACAAGCTGCTGCGTGGCCACATTTTGCCCCACAGCTTCGTGTGATTTCCCCCGCGTCTACTCAATCCTCAAAAAACAGGATTGAGTAGACGCAGGGAAAATCGCACAAAGCTGCGGGGCAAAATGCGGCCGCACAGCAGCTTGTGTGAAATTGACATATACCATCGGGCCAAAGAGAAGAGTGAGCGCAGAGCAGCACTTGTGGGAAATCACCCAGAAAGTGGGATCATCAGACCTTTTTGGGCTGTGGTTTATCTGTAGACTAGTCAGTCATCAAGTTCTTTGTCTTCCCCTGTTCCTGTAGGCGACACTAGATGGGGCCTGCATGCCCAAGGAGTTTGTTACCCCATTTAAAGCAAATGTATTTGTTTAGTTTGCAGAACTTTTTACCTGCCTTTCTCCCAAATGGAGACGACAACCAAGAGAGAGGAGCAACAGTCTCCAAGTCATTTAGCAAACATTCCTGCACGTATTTAAATCTTGGGCACAGCTGAAAAGGAAGATGGAGGGATAAGGCAGAGGTTGTACAAGAAAGGCAGGGTTGGAAGGTTTGTTCTACTGGGAACTGTTCTGTTCTCCCCCCTTGCAGCGAAAAAGGGACAAGCGATTCAGCGGGAGGTGCAGACTTCTGGTTGCCCAGGGGACGCTTTCTATCAAGTCTGTGATGTTCGCAAGGAGTCAGACATTAAGGTAGGCTAAAACTGAGTGGAGAGTGGTACTTCTTTTGGAGGTTCTTTATTCTGTTGCTACCCTTGCCTTGCCTTAGACGTCTCTTCATCTTTGTTCCTGCAGAGGCTGATTTTGGTAACTGTAGAGCATTACGGATGCCTGGACTGCCTTGTGAACAATGTTGGAACTGGTGAGTGACATACAAACCTTTGGGGCCTGCACCTGTTCCAGGTGTTGGGAACAAGACAGAGAAGGATGGGCAACAAAGACAGAGAAGGATGGGCAACAAAGGAGCCTGGGATGTATGTGTCTGGATGGGAGGTCATTTCCTGTTTCTTCAAAAGCCAGAACAGACTTGACCTACAGAGGGTTTGAGATAGCCTATATATTCCGGTTCAGGAACTGTTCCCTCATGGTTTCTGGTCTGACATTTCAGACAGAGCCGTTTTAGTAACGGTTGCCTACTGGAATATATTTTCACTTTCAGACAGAAATGCTTCTGTCCCGTTAGGGAAGCATTTCTGAACTGTTTTACCTGCAGACTGCTTCCAAGCGGTCTTCACTTTTCTATACCATTTCTGAAGTGCTACGGGGTGCTGTGTAAAATGCCCCAGTGTGTAAGTACCATGGAAGAGTGCATCTTTGGAGTACTAAGTATAAAGTATGAAGGAGTTAGAGGACATCTCTAATGATAACCAAATGCAAAGAGTTATTCTGACATTTAAAAGCCCAAGAATTCCCTCCAAGATACTCACTTATATCAATGAACTGAGGTATAAGGGCAACAAGAGATCCTTAATTGATAGTTAAACACAGAAAAGCCGAGGAAGAAAGGCTACACTAAGGGACACTGAAGTATATCAATGAACTGAGGTATAGGGCAACAAGAGATCCTTAATTGATAGTTAAACACAGAAAAGCCGAGGAAGAAAGGCTACACTAAGGGACACTGAAGAGTCCAAAGAGCATTTACAAGAAACCTCACTGCTATAGCAGGACTATCAACAAGAAAAGATTATAAAGAATTAGAGGGAGTCACTGGAATCAACAGCACCATTGAAAATAACCTTTATATTAGGAATCTTGATATTAAACAAGATATTTGTGAGAATGTCAGCCATAATGATTTTATCAACCAGAAGCATAATGCATTTTTCATGACACTGCCAAAATACTGGATGTTAATAGGTAAAGACTGACTAAAACGTGGTCAATCTTTATTTCAGCTGGTCACGATAATATCATGGAATGTCATGGGTTGGGTGGCTAGATCAAAAGAATTGGATGTCAAAAAATTTCCTGAGGAAGTTTGATGTTATACTGATACAGGAATCATGGTGCGAGAACCCCCTGGTATTAGCGGGATATGATGTATATGACCTACAGGTCAAACCGTCCCTGCGGGGTGGGGCTGAGGGAGGATTGGGAATATTAATATCTACAGCCTTGAAGGTTAAAATTATCCAACTCCCCTCACATGAACAAATAGCTAAGAACTTGATTATAAAATTCAAAGCATTAGACTGTTTATTAATGAATGTATATATTCCCTCTCTTAAAACCAAAGGCTATATAGGATGGGTCTGGCAACAGTTGGAAACTTATATTTGGGAACTGATCAAAGAAAATCCAACTACAGAGCTGATAGTGGGAGAAGACTTTAATGCTAGATTGGGGAGAGATGATAATTCCTTGTATAGGGGCTATGATTTTTGCCCACGATACAGAATTTTCACACTTGCTTTATATAAGACTATCCAAAGATTTGAAAAGCAACTATGCAGGGTTTAGGATGGCATGTATGGCCAATGTCTTAAACCTGAATATCCTAAATGGTTCCCATGCAAATCACCACCTTGGAGAGTTTACCTACTGGTCGGGAGCTAGGTTTAGTGTAATTGATTGTATTCTGGTCTCAGAAAATGTAATACAATTCATCGAATCATTTGAAGTTGCTACATATTACGGTAGTGATCATATCCCACTTACGATGATCATATCAATCCCCAAATGTAATTTGCGATCTGAGGATAATTATAAAGGAGAAACTGAATATGGGGAAAAGCACATTAGGATAAGATGGGATGATAAAATGGAAAAAGTTATGCAAAAGCTTCTCAGCCAGGAAAACATCACTAGCACAGCAAGAAATATTATGTATTTAGATGATGGATATGAAATTGTTAAGACATATGAAGAGCTTATCCAACAATTGCAACTCTCATTAGAAAATCATCTTCCTGACACTATCAAAGGTAAACATAGGAAAAAGAACAATGGATGGTTTTGACAAGGAATGTGAACAGGCCAAAAAAGATCTATTCGGAGTATAGAACTGCCCCTGAGATAGTTTATGAAGAACAACTGAAAATGCAGAAGCAAAAATACCATAAGCTACTCAACAAGAAAATAAGGAGGCAAGGGAACGAGCTTGATTGCAACTCAGTCAGGCAGTAAGATTAAAAATCCCCTCACTTTTCTGGAAATTAGTGACATTTAATCCTAACAGAGTCTCTTCTCAGTTCTCTAATGCTGTTTTACCAGAAGTTTAGGTAAGGCATTATAAAGAACAAGTGGAGACCCGCAACAAAATGTTGCGTACTGGGCCTCGCTGGTCTCTCCCCACCCCTGGCTCTGAAGTGGCGGCAGCTTGCAGCCGCCCGGGCCTCGCTTCGGAGCTGGGCTGCCGGGGGACCAGTGAGCCCCGGGTGGGCGGGCGGAACAGCGAGGCCCGGGTGGCTGCAGCCGCTCCGGCCTCGCTTCGGAGCCGAGCGGGGGGGATAGCGAGGCCCAGTACGCAATATTTTGTTGCGGGTCTCCACTTGTTCAAATATAAATAGCACTGCTTTCCCCCAGTTCTCCTCTCAGGACTTGGCAGAACGCCCACCAATAGTACCCCATGAGGCCCGGGCGGCTCTGAAGTGGCGGCGGCGAGCCCGGCTGCAGAGCGTTTCCTGCGCATGCGCAGGAAACGCTCTGTCACTTTCGGGGGGATTTAAATATCCCCCCGATATTTGGGGGTTTTTTTTAGATTTTTGTGCACACCTGGGGCCCACCCCACATTTGCACAAAACTCTCCCTCCCCCCCAGCTGCCCCCGGTGCGCGGATTTAAGTATCCGCACACCAGGGGGCGACTTCAGTATTAGATATATAGATTATATGGAGCGTTCCGTGCACCTTGGTGTTTAGTCATGCTGGCCACATGACCATGGAAGCGTCTTCGGACAGCACTGGCTCTTCGGCTTTGAAACGGAGATGAGCACCGCAACCCTAGAGTCGGATTTGACTGGCTTTCGAGCAAGGGAACCTTTACCTTTATGGAGTCATACTCCAGATTGGCTACCTGTTGAACCCTCCGAAGCGAGGTCCCTGGTAGATGCTTTGAAACCAAACAAAGCACCAGGGCTTGATTTAATACCTGCAGAACTAATTAAGAAAAATATAGATTGGTGACAACCCAGCCCATACCTTCGGATAATCTGGATGAGTGGGCACATATAGATATTAAACAGCATTGAGGACAGAATCAACCCCTGCGGCACATCACATTCTAGTAGGTGTCACTGAGATAATTCCCCCCAAGTGTCACCCACTGTCCCTGACCTTGGAGAAACGAGGTCAGCCACTGCAAGGCAAGCCCCCTTATCCCCACACTGGCAAGACAGTGGGTTAACAGACTGTAGTACTAATAAACTACTTTACATCCAGACGATCTGATGATAATGTGTGACTGGTTGTTTAAACAGTCTTACTTTAAAAAGAGGTATGAAATCCCTCCACATGTTCCAGGGGTGGGGCTCTTTTGCTGTTTGTGTGTCTTGCCTCTGTGAAACCCATTTTAAATCCTCTCACAAACAGTTCATAATGAACCGATAGATGATGTGAGTGCCCAAGATTTCCGCAACCTCATGGAACTCAACGCTGTGAGCGTTTTTTTGGCATCCAAGGTGAGTGTTTCTAACATCTAAGCAGAGCCAGTTTGGTGTAGTGGTTAAGTGCGCGGACTCTAATCTGGGAGAACCGGGTTCGATTCCCCACTCCTCCACTTGCACCTGGCTGGATGACCTTGGGCAAGCCATAACTCTGGCACAGCTGTCCTTGAAAAAGAGCAGTTTCTGTCAAGAGTTCTCTCAGCCCCACCTGCCTCACAGGGTGTCTATTGTGGGGAGGGGAAGGGAAAAGAGTTTGTAAGCCGCTCTGAGACACCTTTGGGTAGTGAAGGGCGGGGTACAAATCCAATCTTTTCTTCTTCTTTACCCTCTTCCCTGAGGGCAGCTGTCTTCATCCAGAGTTGAAAGAACAGTGGAAGAACCTGGAAGGGTACTCAGAGGTGTCGTGCTATCCCTGTGTCCATCAGTTCTCTCCTGCCCAAATCAGAACAATGGGGAGGAGTCGTGGCTCCACAGCCGAGGACCAGCTTTGCACCCAAAGGGTTCATCCCTGCCAACTCTAGTTGCAGGGATTTCTGCTGGCTGTGCTGGGGAGGGTCTCTGCCAGTAGGCAATTCTAAGTTACAAATGCTCCTTCTAAGCTGTGGAGTCCTGTGAGCAAAATTTCTACTTTGTGAACTACTGGTATTAAAGTTGTAAGTGAGCTATTTGGCTGCTGCATTAATTAATTTGCTCTTGGAGCCCTCCTTCCTGAGCTAAGACAATAATGCATGAGCTGGAGGCCAAAAAACTGTGAGCTAGCTTAGAGGGAACCCTGGCTATGGCAGCTTCATAAGTTTCTGTTTTGAGATCAGGCACACTGTTTCTGTTTCTCTTTTGTGTACAGTATGCGCTGCCCTACTTACGGGAAACAAGAGGAAACATCATCAACATGGCCAGTATGGCTGGTGTCATTGGGGTGAAGCATGGTGTGTTGTCTGCCTCAAGCAAGGTAATCTTGACCCAAGGACAGAATCCTTCTTTTTAAAAAAATGCTCCTCCTCTTCAGCCTTTAATAGCAGCTTGACTAGCAGATAAAGGTTTGCACAGCATGGTGATAGTTAGTGATGAGGGCCCTTTCTGCACGGAGGTTTCCCCCCCCCACTCTCACAGCTGCTCCACTTCACATAATATTTGTCATTCTGCCTTACCCCCGCTTTCACCCTGCCTTTCTTTCCATTTATTTTTTGATTCTGCATGGCTCAGCTCTCAGTTTGCTTTCGGTCTGCTGTTTCCCCGGCATATCTGAATGCGGTTTTCCCTCAGACTTTCCCCTTGTATCGGTTCCATGTCAGAGTAATTCGAATGCAGAATCATTTCTTTGGATTTATCATCCCCACCTTTTTTTTAACATTTTATTTTCAGTTTCACAAACATTAAAATAAATCAAACATTCCTTTTATAACTCATACTTTTCTAAAGAAAGTTCATCTTCCTATTTTAACAATTAATATTTTAAACTAGCATTTTCCATTCTTACTATAACTTCTTCATTTTCAGCCAGTCTTATATTATATTATATCCCTTCTCATCCACAATTCTTACTCTGACTTATTTTATAATATTAATGTCAATTTACACAAACATTCAAATAACTCAAACGAATCCTTTTAGAATTCATACTTTTCCAAAAGCAAGTTTCATCTTTCTAGTTTAGCAATTAGTATTTTTAACTAGCATTTTCCATTCCTACTATAACTTCTTCATCTTCAGCCAGTCATATATTATATCCCATCTCGTCCAAAATTCTTCTTCTGGCTTATTTTGTAATATTAAAGTCAGTTTGTCCATTTCAGCTATCTCTAGTATCTCATCCCCACCCTTAAGGGACCCTCTTGGCTCACTGCTCTGCCCTTCTGCGGGAGTGATTTGCCCTTTCCCGCTGGTCGATGCAGTGGATGAGTGTTCTCATGTCTGTGCAGGAACACTTTGTATCTGGTTGCCATGGCAGTCTGGGAAGGAGAGAGGAGAGGCTGGGGGCATTCCAGCAGCCTGGGGTCCAGCGTTCTGCCTTGGGTGTCTTCAGAGCGGTTTCATGTTTCCGCCACCCTGCACCCTTCAATGGTGCACAATCCACAGCACAGCATTTCCCATTCTGTTTTTTTGTTTGTTTAATTGTATGGTAGAGTCTAGTGGGGTGGCTTTATTGCTATTCTTTGAAAGCTGTGTGACTCCAAGACTCGGAAGATAATGCATTCAATTTTTCATATGTATGTTTTCAGTTTGAATGAGCCTTTTTAAAGACCGGGAAAAGTTCCCTTCTGGGGACACGGTGGATAACTGTGAGGTGACCAGCAGCAACAATGTGCATGGCATACCACCACTACCCGGAATGTTATCCAAAATGTATTAATGACCTTCCCCTCCTAAATAGGCCAATTCCGTGCAGAATACATAATCCACATGATTTGCAATTCCTGGGGGAAAAACGAAGGTTCAGAATTGCAAGCATGGCATTCTTAGTAAAGGTGAATAACTCAACTGAAAAAGAGAGATTTGCTTCAGTTCCTGGCGATTTCTCTCTATCCATCTTTTTATATAATGAAGTTATATTATATCCATCACTGTCATATTGGAAAGTAACTACATCTTCTTTGGGATTTGGCATACTCAGCCTACTACAAATTATATGACTGCCAATGAAAAGATCAATAATCAGCAAGACAGTCATTGAATCCTTCAAGACAAAATGATCTAAGGGATAGAGGACCGAAGTATACTCACTTATGGGAAGGATTTTAGTCCCTTCTGCACCACATTCCTCTCTATCACCATGATATATGCCTATACAATGCAAGTGGGCAACTTGTTCCTAACTTAGTACATTTGTCCCCTGTATCTTCTGCACAACAATGAGGGAGGGAGGAGAGATTCTAGTCTAAAAGGAGCTCACTAGTCCCGCAGAAAATGTAGAGAAAATCTGCATGGGGAAAGGGATCGGGTCTCCATTCTCTGTGCTTTGAAAAACTCCACTTGTGGGCTCTTGTAAATCAAGTCGCTCCTAAAGGCACCAGAGGTTAGGTTTTTTCAGGTTCGTTGTCAATCTTCATAGATGAGTTGAAAACCAGCCTGTAAGTGGTCAAGGTTTTATGGAATGTCTGTTTCTTCACATTGTCAGACTGAAAAGAGCTCACTTAAAGCTCTCCCTTGAATTGAGGCTTCATGGGATTTATTTACATGGGATTTATTTACAAGGTCCCCTGCGGTGGCTCAAGTGGTTAAGACGCTGAACTGCAGGTTGTGGAAGGTCAGCATGGTAATGGCGGCAGTACATTACCCCCTGTTTCTCTTGTCCAGAGGGAAAAGATGTGTTTGGTGGATGGTGATAACTCAGGTGCTGAAAGTCAACATTTAAAGATGAGAAGGTCTGGCTTACCACCCCCTATACTGTCTTCACTAGGGTTGCCAAGATTGAGACTAGACGACTGTGAGGCACTGCGCATTGCTGTCCCCTGTATTGTGTCTTCACCAAGGGTTGCCAATGGACCTTGAGAACAATGGCTTATCCTTTAATAGAAACTGAATAGGGCTGCCCTTTATCTTTTACCCCTATATTCATTTTACTGGGCAAGGGATCAGACTAGGATATCTATGGCCAACCCCCCCCCCAAGGAATTTTAGTTCCCCTAACCCTTTTTCTCTTGTCCAGAGAGAAAATATGTGTTTGGTGGATGGTGATAACTCAGGTGCTGAAAGTCAACATTTAAAGATGAGAAGGTCTGGCTTACCATCCCCTATACTGTCTTCACTAGGGTTGCCAAGTTTGAGACTAGACTACTGTGAGGCACTGCACATTGCTGTCCCCTGTACTGTGTCTTCCCCAAGGGTTGCCAATGGCCCTTGAGAACAATGGCTTGTCCTTTAATAGAAACTGAGTAGCAGCATGGATTGTGGGCATTATTCATATCCATATCATTAAAAAATCCTTCTCTTAATGCACATCAGGCTGTAAAGGGAGGAGGCCAAACCATTTCTGATCAGTTGGCAACCCTGCTTATTGTGCATTATTTTTGCAGGGGGCTGTGATTGCAATGACCAAAGCCCTGGCCATTGATGAGAGCAAATATGGAATACGAGTCAACAGGTAAGTGAACCCTCGATGCACAGCGTCCTCTGCAGAATACTCACAGGACAGAAAGACAGGTCCTCCATACCCCAAGGACAGGAGCCTTCAGAGATAATAGAGGGAGAACATAATAATAACAACAGGAAACTGGCATTGTAAGAGTCTAATATCCAGACAAGTGGGCTCGGTTATGTTTTCTGGAGAAGGTATAAGTGGTGCAAAGTCCCCATATTTGTTTTCCCTTTCCAATGTTGTTACCCAAGAGCACAGAAACGCCAAAAAAATAGACTAGGCACAAAATAGGATATCTTCTAGAATGCAAACATAGGAAATGAATGACGCGTCAGGTCAAATCTATCAGCCCTTGTGTGTTCTAATTTGTTATTTGTACATGAGGTGTAACTGGGCCCTTATATATACTTTTAAAATCTTTGTTTAATAAATACATGTATCTTTTTAATAAATTTCATATATTAAGCTTTTATTGTTGGCCCTCTTTTGCATTTGACTAGCCTTTTTTATATCCAAGTTCGAGACCCGAGTGTGCCGCATGACGGAGTGAGCTCCCGTCTCTAGTTCCAGCTCCTGCCAACCTAGCAGTTCGAAAGCAAGAAACTGCAAGTAGATAAATAGGTACCACTTCGGTGGGAAGGTAACAGCATTCCGTGTGCCTTGGTGCTTAGTCATGCTGGCCACATGACCACGGAAACGTCTTCAGACAGCGCTGGCTCTTCGGCTTTGAAACGGAGATGAGCACCACAACCCTAGAGTCGGATTTGACTGGCTTTCGAGCAAGGGAACCTTTACCTTTACCTTTAGCCTTTTTTAGGTTCTAGACACCACTAGGGTGGCCAGCTCTGGGTTGGGAAGTACCTGGAGATTTTGGGGGTGGAGCCTGGGGAGGGGAGGGACCTCAGGAGGGTCCACCCACCAAAGCAGCCATTTTCTGCAGAGGAACTGATCCTGGTCATCTGAAGATGAAGTGTAACAGTGGGAGATCTCCAGGTGCCGCCTTGGACACTGGCCACCCTGGATACCACCAAAGCAACAAAACGAGTGTGCCTGCAGACAGAGAAGGTGGAGGGGTGTCTCCATACTAGCAGGTCTCCCCCAGGTGTACAGGGAAGTACAGCCTTTTCAGCTAACTAGAATCAAAATAAGAGACTGAGGAATAAATCCAGCTTCAAAGAGAACTGAGTCTTCTCCAGGAAGCCCAGAATGTAAAGAGCAGCTTAGAGTCAGCTAAAGGTGGGAAATGGGGTGAGGGGAGAAGACATCAACCTGCTTAAGTCCTCCCTGTAAGAGCTTACGGAATCCTGGAGGAGATTTGGTGACAGAGGTAATACTTTGAAGTTCTACAACCCCCTCGCCCTGCCACTGATTTCTTGCAGGGCCTCAGCGTGTGCAACTATCCCTCAGGTCCTGTTCCGTCTGGCGCTGAGCACAGGTCCTTTTAAAAGCGGATTTAAAAATTGATGTTCACTACTGCTTTTTCTTGTGCTGTGAACAAACAATTCCTTTCCCTGAAATCTTGGAGGTTGCATTTCGTGCTGTATTTTCCCTGGAATGTATAAATGAATAGTCATGAATAGTCACGCCAAGGATTGCGGGATGATCCATTTTATATAGTGTGTTAAACTCTATGATTGTCATGGAAGTTGATATCATTCACTTGGGGACATATTTCTTGATGCTTCATGGTATCCCTGCCCCCTTTTTAATGTCCAAATGTTTTGAATCCTAGCATCTCATCAAATTATATCTGGACTGATTTTACGAAAAGTTATATAAACCAGTCACCGGATCCAGAGGCAGCAATGCAGGAAGCCAAGGATAGTCAGGCAAGTGTGTTGTTGGGAAACAGGAGTGGCGCTGCTGCAGATAACGGCTTCTCCTCAAGGTGGCCATCCTCGGGGCGAGGCCTGAAGTTCTCCCAAAAGGACAACTCTTTCTTTTATGAAGTTGGAGAACTTCCGGCCAACCTTCCATGCTTGGGCAAGGTGTTTGCGTGGGTTGTGGCTTCTCAGCTTCAAGGGCTCTTGGAAGACGCTGATTTTTCTAGACTCATTTCAAACTGGCTTCAGGCCAGGATTTGAAACAGAGACTGCTTTGGTCGCCTTGGCTGATGAGCTCTACTGAGAAACAGACAAGTGGAATGTGACCCTGCCAATCCTGCTGGATCACTCAGCAGCCTTCAATACTATCAACCATAGTACCCTACTGAGTTGCCTGTCAGCACTAAGACTAAGGGAGCCTGTATTGTGGGAGTTCTAGTCCTATTTTGTCAGTCTCAGAAGGTAGTGCTGGAGGATTCCTACTCTGTCCTGTGGCCATTGGACTGTGGGGTTCCTCAGGGTTTGATCGTACCCCCCATGCTGTTTAATATCTATGTGAAACTACTGGGAAAAGTAATAATCAAGTCTGAGCTGCGGTGTCACCAATATGCGGATGATATCCAGCTCTGCCCCCCCCCCCCGTTCTGAAGATGCTGTTGATCTTCTGAACTGGTTCTTGGAATCCATAATGGGCTGGACGAGGGTGAACAAGCTGGAACGACAAGACAGAGGTTCTCCGGGTTAGTAGAAAGGTAGACCAGAACCTTTGGATTCCTCCTGTCTTGGAGGGGGTTATACTCTCCTTGAAAAGCCAGGTTCACAGCTTGGGAGTGCTACTCGACACAGCAGCTACCTTTGAAAACCAGACGGCTACAGTGGCTCAGAGTGCTTTTTCCCAGCTTCAGCTGGTGCATTAGCTGCATCCATTCCAGTTCAATCAGATCTTACCCACCGTGCTGCATGCCTTAGTTACACGCAGACTGGGCTATTGCATTGCACTCTGCTTGGGGCTACCCTTGAAGAGGGCTCAGAAGCTGCAGCTGGTGCAGAATAAAGCGGCTGGACTGCTGGTTGGGAATAGCAATTTGGAGCATGTCTCCCCAATACTACAGCATTTACAATCTATCAATCCACTCCCAAGCCCAATTCAAAGTGTTGTTTTCAACCTTCAAAGCTTGGACTGGAGAATCTTCTTCCATATGTTCCTGCCGGGGAATTAAGGTCACAAGGAGAGCCTCTCCTTTCTTTCCGATCAATCATAGGAACTTCTTTGGTGGGTATACAAGACAGGGCCTTTTCAGTGGCAGCCCCACAATTCTAGAACAAACGTCTCCCCAGGGAGGCATGCCTGCCCCCCCCCGGATCTTTAGGAAGTAGTTGAAGACAGCTTTATTTAGGATTGCATTTGATTATGTTGCTTGCAATCCTAAATTGTGATTTTTGATTTTTTTTGGGGGGGGGTATTTCATGTATTCTATATTGTGTATTTTACCTTTATCATAAGCCATCGAGCACTGAAAGGAAGAACGGTGGCTAATAAATGTTTTAAATAAATTAATATTCTGTAGGAAACAGTGCCCAGGTGAAAACAGCAGCCCTGGTGGGTAGTAGGAGAACCAGAAGTCCTAGAGTGGCTGCAGGGGGTGGATGCTGGTAGACTTCAGCTTCTCCTGTATAGGAAGAAGCATCTCTGCTGGGCTCCCTCCCCTCCCCAAACGTTGCCCTCCCCGGGCACTGCTTCTTCTACATCTGTTAAGCTGGAATGGACAACTCAACTTCTTCATCTTCTAAGATGGTAACAAGAAGAAGGGTTGTGTATACACAAATTGGAAGTTAGAATTCTGCCCCCAGGAATTCTGAATTCTACTGGTAGTGAACCCTGTCCCACTCAGCTTCAGCTTCTGAGACCACATGATCTTACCTTGCATGTGATGAGTATCGAATTCTACATTTATCTCTCTTCTCTTGCACACTTACAGCTTATGGGACGTTTCGGTTCCCCAGAGGAAGTGGCCTTGGCTGCCCTGTACCTTGCTGCAGATGGTACTTTCTGCACTGGTTTAAACCTTGTCCTCACTGGCGGAGCTGACATCGGCTTTGGGAAGAAGAACCAGGGGAATCCAGAGCATGAGCCAAGTGGGGGTAGGAACTCACAGGGTTCCTCCAGCAAAGAATAGGACTGAAAATAGGAGAGGAAATAAAAGCTAAGAATACAGCTGGCATTGGCTGATTCTGCAATGACTTTTCCCTCTCTTGTTTTACGAAATCCACGTTGGAACAGGAATTCCCATCTGCATTGCATGCTGCTTTCAGTTCCTTTGATCATCAGATTTTATGGTACCCTAAACACTCCATGCCACTTTCACTTTCTTTGATCATCGGGTTTTATGGTACCTTCTGCATAGATTTATGGCCATTCAGGGGTGACTTTGCAGTCAGTAGAGCATTGCCCCGAGGTATTCGAATGTGGTTTTGAGCTGCACTTTCCCCTCCCAGTTGAGAAAATGTGGAGTGAGTGCTAGATGCAGAATCGTCCAAAGATGGAAAGTCATCCTTCCAAGAAGAAGAGCTCCACAAAGGTGTTGTAGCCAAAGAAAACAAAGCAAGAGACATTTAGCATTGGACTAGGTGGACTACTCAGCAATGAAACTCACTGGAGGCCCTTGGGCCAATCACAGATACACAACCTAAGGCTGCCACACAGGATGTTGTGAGCAGAAAGAGGTTTCTTCTTTTCAAACTGGTCTTTCACTGATTACTTAAGTATTGGTTTCATTCACATCAGATATCGGGGGGGGGGTCATGCCACTTCCACGCCATGGACAGCTCCAACTGCCCATTTCCACACCTGAAGCCTCTATACAAAACTGGTGAACCTGCAGATACAGAAGGTGTGTGGGGGGTGTCTCCATACTAGTGCATCTCCCCCAAGTGTGCAGGAAAGCACCGCTCTGTCAAGTAACTAGAAGAAAATTAAGAGATGGAGGGGAAAAGACAGCTTGAAAGAGAACCGAATCTGCTCTAGGAAGCCCAGAATGTAAAGAGCAGCTTAGTTAAAGGAGAAAAATGGGGTGGGAAGGAGAAGATATCAGCCTGCTTAAGTCCTCCCCCTAAGAACTTAGAGAATCATGGAGGAGGAGATTTGGTGACAAAGATATTACTTTGAAGTTCTACAACCCCCTCTCCCTTCCAGTGATTCCTTGCAGGGCCTCAGCTTGTGCAACTATCCCTCAGGTCCTTTTAAAAACGGATTTTAAAATGGATGTTTGCTACTGCTTTTTCTTGTGCTGTGAACAAACAACTCCTTTCCCTGAAATCTTGGAGGCTGCATTTCGTGCTGTATTTTCTTTGGAATGTATAAATGAATAGTCATGAATAGTCATGCCAAGGATTGTGGGATGAATCATTTTATATAGTGTGCTAAACTCTATGACTGTCATGGAAGTTGATATCATTCAGGGGCCATATTTCTTGATGCTTCATGGTATCCCCCTTTTTAATGTCCAAATGTTTTGAATCCTAGCATCTCACCATGTTATATCTGGACTGATTTTACGAAAAGTTATATAAACCAGTCACCGAATCCAGAGGCAGCAATGCAGGAAGCCAAGGATAGTCAGGCAAGTGTGTTGTGGGGAAACAGGAGTGGTGCTGCTGCAGATGACGGGTTCTCCTCAAGGTGGCCATCCTTGGGGCGAGGCCCGAAGTTCTCCCAAAAGGACAACTCCTTCTTTTATGAAGTTGGAGAACTTCCAGCCAACCTTCCATGCTTGGGCAAGGTGTTTGGGCGGGTTGTGGCTTCTCAGCTCCAGGGGCTCTTGGAAGATGCTGATTTTCTAGACTCAATTCAAACTGGCCTCAGGCCAGGATTTGGAACAGAGACTGTTGGGTCCTCTTGGTTAATGAGCTCTACTGAGAAACAGACAGATGGAATGTGACCCTCCTAAGCAGCCTTCAATATTATCAACCATAGTATCCTACTGAGCTGCCTCTCAGCACTAAGTCTAAGGGAGCCTGTATTGTGGGAGTTCTAGTCCTATTTCTGAGGGGGGTGTGTGTCAGTCTCAGAAGATGGTACTGGAGGATTCCTACTCTGTCCTGTGACCGTTGGACTGTGGGGTTCTGCAGGGTTTGATTGTACCCCCCATGCTGTTTAATATCTATGTGAAACTACTGGGAAAGGTAGTCATCAAGTCTGAGCTGCAGTGTCACCAATATGTGGATGGTACCCAGTTCTGCCTTTCTTTCTCACTTCATTCTGGAGATGCTGTTGATGTTCTGAACGGGTGCTTGGAACCCATAATAGGCTGGATGAGGGTGAAGAAGCTGGAACTTAATCCTGACAAGGCAAAAGTTCTGTGAGTTAGTAGAAAGGTCAACTAGAACCTTAGGATTCCTCCTCTCTTGGAGGGGGGTTATACTCTTAAAAGTCAGGTACACAGCTTGGGAGTGCTACTCAACATAGCAGTTACCTTGAAAACCAGACGGCTACGGTGGTTCAGAGTGCTTTCCCCCAGCTTCGGTTGGTGCATTAGCTGCATGTGTTCCTGGTTCAATCAGATCTTACCCACCGTGCTGCATGCCTTAGTTACATGTAGACTGGGCTATTGCATTGTGCTCTGCTTGGGGCTACCCTTGAAGAGGGCTCAGAAACTGCAGCTAGTGCAGAACAAAGCAGCTAGACTGCTGGTTGGAACCAGCAATCTGGAGTATGTCGCCCTAATACTACAGCAGTTACAATCTATCAGTCCACTCCCAAGCCCAACTCAAAGTGTTGTTTTCAGCCTTCGAAGCCCTCCTGGCCTGGGACTGGAGAATCTTCTTCCATATGTTCCTGCCTGGGAATTAAGGTCACAAGGAGAGGCTCTCCTTACTGTCCCACCAATCAAAGGAGTTCCTTTGGTGGGTACACAAGAGAGGGCCTTTTCAGTGGCAGCCCCACAGTTCTAGAACAACCTCCTCCCCAGGGAGGTGTGCCAGGCCCCCTCCCTTTAGATCTTTAGGATGTAGTTGAAGACAGCTTTATTTAGGATTGCATTTGATTATGTTGCTTGCAGTCCTAAATTGTGATTTTTTTTATTTTGTATTTTATGTATTCTATAATGTATTTTACCTTTATCATAAGCCATCAAGCACTGAAAGGAAGAATGGTGGCTAATAAATGTTTTAAATAAATGAATATTCTGTAGGCGACAGTGCCCAGGTGAAAACAGCAGCCCTGGAGGGTAGGATAAAGAGAAGTCCTAGAGTGGCTGCAGAGGGTGGATGCTGGTAGACTTCAGCTTCTCCTGTATAAGAAGAAGCATCTCTGCTGGACTCCCTCCCCTGACCACACTTTGCCCTCTCTGGGCACTGCTTCTGTGTCTCCCATGCTGGAATGGGCAACCCAACTTCTTCATCTTCTAAGAAGGTAACAAGAAGAAGGGCTGTGTCTACACAAATTGGAAGTTAGAATCCTGCCCCCAGGGAGTCTGAATTCTACTGGTAGTAAACCCTGCCCCACTCAGCTTCAGCTTCTGAGACCTCAGGATCTTACCTTGCATGCGATGAGTATAGAATTCTACATTTATCTCTCTTGTTTTGCGCATTTACAGCTTATCCGACATTTTGGGACCCCGGAAGAAATAGCATTGGCTGCCCTGTTCCTTGCCGCAGATGGTACTTTCTGCACTGGTTTAGACCTTATGATTAGTGGTGGAGCTGAAGTCGGCTTTGGGAAGAAGAAGCAGGTGGATCCGGAGCCTGAGCCAAGTGGGGGTGGGAACTCACAGGGTTCCTCCAGCAAGCAATAGAACTAAAAAGGGGAGAGGAAATAAAAGCTAAGAATACAAGTGTCTGATTCAAAGTCATCCCTCCAAGAAGAAGAGCTCCACAGAGGTGTTGTAGAAAAGCAAAAAAAAAAAAAAAGCAAGAAAGCAAGAGACCTTTAGTGTGTGGAGTAGGACAATTCAGTAATGAAACTTACTGGAGGCCCTTGAGCCAATCACAAATACACAACCTGAGCTGCCACACGGGATGTTGTGAGCAGAAAGGGGAGACCCATGTGTGTCACCTGCAGGGTTTTTATTTTTAGAGAAGGCAGAATTTATTTACTTATTTTTATTTGATTTGTTTTTCATCTTGCCCTACCCTGCAAGCTGGCTCAAGGCATGTTACAACATACAAGATACTGAACAAAAAAAAAAAATTAAAACCCTAGAAGCAACTATTTCAAAAGTCTGACTCAGTCACAAGATGGCAATTTGAAAAACTTGCGTTGTCCGAGTACATAGAGGTATGAATGGTCCAGGTTCTCAGAGTGGTAGGACCGTCACAGAGGGCTGATTAATCAGGAGGGGGACCTTAAAGTCCCTTTAAGACACACCCATCCAGATGGGCCACACTGATAAAAAAGACTCGTGTTCTGTATTCATGTGGGTAGGGTTGCGACTTTTCAAACTGGCCTCTTGCTGGTTTCTTTAGTATCCATTTGATCCACATCAAATATCGGGGGGTATCATTCACTTCCATGCCATGGAAAGCTTCTGCTGCCCATTTCCACACATGAAGCCTCTATTAGAGGGACAGGACATTCTTCCCCAGGTCTGTTGGCCACCGTGCTTACTGGGTTTCCAGGCCTGTAACATCTGAGGGGCAACGAGAAATTCAACACATCCACCTGTCCTGGAATGAAAGATGGCAGATCCATCTTGGATTCATGCACCTCGGACTCTGATAGTGTAAGCAAGAGCTAAGCCCTGGAATGTATCTTCTCTATTCAGGCTTTGGTTGGTCATATGAATTTGCTCCAGGACAGCGAGACCAGGAAATGGTGGAACTTCATTAAGCGTTTTCTGTCGATGTTTTCTCTTCCTGTTGACTGACAACTGTGCCTTTTCTGATCCCAATAAAGAAACAGTTCAAGGAAAAGAGATGCCATAGTTGTGTTGTTGCTGTTTGGCTTTAATAGATGAAAATGAGTTTGCATCAGGAGCTACCCTTCCTAGTTAAGCTGGGTTTGATGTGCTCTCCCTGGCCTTCCATCTTCCTTTCCCCACACCTCCAAGCTCTCTGCCTGGATTTGTTTCCTTCTCCCCCTCAGTTCCCTTTTTGTTTGTTTATAAGCAAATTGTGCTTTCTTCCTGATGATGGAGAAGCGAAAGCAGGGCTTCTGATGAGAGGGGTGGTGGTGGTGGTGGAGTAGATCTCCTCATCCCGAGATACCACCCAGCAATTCAATGGTTGAATCAAGGGTAAAAAAGTCACCCAGCTTTTTCAGGTGCCATCATCAAAATAAGCTATTAAGAAAGTGCAACATCACAAAACAGGGGAAAGCAACTGCCCACTAAGCTGGACAATGTATGGGAAGGTCTTTCAGAAAACCTTGGGCAAGCTGTAGTTCTGATAAGAGCTGTTCTTGAAAAAGAGCAGTTTCTGTCAAGCACTCTCTCAGCCTCACCTACCTCACAGGGTGTCTGTTGTAGGGAGGGGAAGGGAAAGGAGTTTGTAAGCCACTCTGAGACTCCGAGTGAAGGGCGGGGTATAAATCCAATCTCTTCTTCTTCTTCTTCAGATACAGTTACATAAAGGAAACACATACACCAAGATGCAAGCAAATTCAATGACTACTTGCAAGAAAACGTGAAAGAGAACATGACAAAAGAGCAGAATGACAATTGGGTCGATGTCAGCATATGCTCTGGTGGGCCACCACTGGGCCCATGGTTTCTGGCAGGGCCCACTGCTGCTGACTGGCACCCCCTGTTCACTCACTGCCCAGTGCTGCAGCACTCACCGCCCAGTGCTGCAGCACCCATGGTCCCTCCTGCCCGTGTGCCACTGGGGAAAGATCTGAAGGTAGCTGTGAGCAGGGATGGTGTGACGGATTGTGAGCAGATAGGGCAAGGATACACAGCAGGTGGGAGGCATACAGGTGGGTGGAAGGTCCTAAGTGCTTGGTAGTGGGCAGAGGAAGGGAGGGGGCCCTGGGAGCTGTTTGTCAAGGACCCCCAAACACCTGGAACTGGCCCTGAGTGACATCAGTGAGCCCTGCCAGGGCCAGGGAAATGGCAGCCAGGTACTGTGTGAATTTAGGAGGGGAAAGAACAGGGATTCGCCCCATACAGAAAAAAAATGTACAACATGACCAGAAGGATAAGAATAGGTGGGAGTGCATATTACAGAGGCTATTCCAGACCTGGGGAAGCACCTTTCTTTATGTAATTTATTCCAGTTTCTTGCATGCAGAACTAAAATGTAATGCTTCCCATTTCCGAGACTAAGCATTCCTTCGAGTATCCTGCCCTCTCTGCTGCTGCTGCTGCTGCTGCTTCTTCTTCTTCTTCTTCTTCTTCTTCTTCTTCTTCTTCTTCTTCTTCTTCTTCTTCTTCTTCTTCTTATTCTTCTTCTTCTTCTTCTTCTTCTTCTTCTTCT